TGCTGATTGCTTTTAACCCAGTCGTAAGTTAAACTGCAATAAATATTAGGGAAGAAAACAATTCAGTAGACCCCTGTGTTTAACATGGATTGCTGTTTAATGGAGTCGGAAAAACCCTCTAGTCATATGATATTTCCTGAATCAAAACAAGCTACTAATGTGTAAAGTCTGGTTAAACACAGCTGTTAATCTTAGACCTGCCCTCTAGTGCTAAGTACTTGATGTTGTAATGAAAGTGCATTGTGTTCCTATAATTTAATTTCAGAGTCATTCATCCTTGAAACTTTTCCTTGAATTAACCTGTTGCCTTGATTTCAACTCATGTGACCCCAGTAGGACTGAGTAGAATTGCCGCACCGGGTTTTGAAAGCCTTATGTAATCTTTACTGAAGCCAACTGCCACATCTTTCTCTGACAGAGCTGCTTATGGGTTTGAACCATTGGACTTTCAGTTCTTAGCCAAGTACTTTAACTACTGTTACACTAGGAAACCTTTTCTTGAGTTAGATGGGTGAATAGTTTTGGGGGTTATGTGGTTTAATGCACCAGACTGCAAAGCCATTTGAATGGCAAGGTCGTTGGTTCAAGCTCACCAGCTACTCCTTGGAAACCCTATACAAGGTCGCTATGGGTCGGAATTGACTTGACGGCATTTAACAACACCAACACAGACCCCACCCTCCCAGAAAGTAAAATCTCTCTTTTCCAGACCCTTTGTCAATTATACCAATTTCTTTAGGTATTTTGACAAAAAACTGATAAGATTTGGTGATAAAATAAGCTTGTTGTTAAGTGCCAGTTCTGACACATAGTGACCTGTATAGGGTTTCCAAAGCCCAGCTGGTGAACTTGAACCGCCGACTTTGTGGTTCATACCGACTTTGCAGTCTAGCACATTAGCCCACAGAGCCACACCTTAGAGGGTTTTAAAATGAGGGAACTGGAATAGATACATTTTTAAATCTTCAAATCTGTGAATCTTTGACCAAATTAATTCATGTATTGACTTCATTTTTCCCCCTTTTAGATTTATATTGTTTCTTGTGGGCCTTAGGTCTCTCTCTGATTGGCGCTTGTTAGTCTGGGAACAAAGGGGGAAGAAATGAAGATGGTTGAGCAGCTGTGTGCATGGCTGTATTCTGGGTGTTTGTTGTCTCCTTTAATCCTCACAGATTCCTCAGTGGAATAGTCATCCGTATCTTCATTAGGGAAAGAAAGTAACACTCTGAGTCCAGCAGAAAACGGAGGCTCAAAGTGATTGAATAACCTGCCCGAGGTCACTTAGCATGTAGTGGTAGAACCTGATTCTTTCTGACTTTAGGTTGATTTTCTTGCTTGTTACATAGTGCTTCCCACATTCCATCTTTCTTTGTGTTTCTTTAAGGAATCTTTCAAGGGCTTTTCATTAAAAAATGGCAGTAAGAAACTTCTATCAGGACACCTTCTATTGACCCTTTTATGCCTGAACGGGCTTCTCTGTGCTATTGAATGAAATTGTGTTCTAGCCAGAATTAATAGCGCCAGTATTTTGAAACTTTTTATGTGTTTTACAACATGGAAAAAAAAAATGTTTTCACTTCCTCAAGACTTCTGATTTATCTAACGTGACTTACTAAGTAACAGGTTTTTTGGACTTACTAAATTTTCCTGGTCTGAAAAAACAGCAGCATGGTGTCGTGGTGTGGTGATGTACGATAATCACTGGACTGCTAACCTCAAGGTTAGTGGTTCAAACTCAACAGCTGCTCCTTGGAAACCCTATACAAGGTCTCTATAGGGTTGGAACCGACTAGATGGCACTTAACAACAATAACAACAAAAACAAAGGAACAGCATAGGAACAAAGTGACTCAGTAAGATAAGCACTGGACTGTGAACCATCATGATTTCTGCTCCCATCATGATTTACAGCCTTGCAAACCCTATACAGGATCATTGAGTCGGAGCTAAATGTAAGGAGCCACATTAATGATAATTCTCTGTAATTATAGATTATATTTTCTTTCATATGAAAATTCCAAATAACTTTTTAGTCATTCTTGTTGCTATTCATGTACACTTTTCAGAAGGAGAAACTTTAGCAGTCAAGGCCACACAGAAATCAATTGATGGTAGAAGTAATAATAAACTCAGGAGTCCTCTTTCAGAATACTATATTCTGAATAGGAAATCCCCTTGAATAGTATGTTCTCTGTCTGGGAAATAAATTTCGGTCCCCCGATGATAATACTCTTGTTGTTAATGTTGATGGTAGTTATTAAATTATTATTTCTGTGTTCCAAAAAGCATTCTAGATCACATATATATAAATTTATTTATGCTTTACCAACCTCTAATGCAGATTTAATCATGAGGAAGGTGCTACTATTTCAATTTTATAGATGAGGAAACACCTGTATCTCTCTACTTCTCATGTGATAGATTATATATCACTTCACTTCTATGAAAGCACCATTTATTATAATGACTTTTATATTCTTCTTAGTATTGAGCCCAGTGCTGGGAACATAGTAATTAAATTTTCTTTTCCACTGATTGATCAGTTGGAATAGATGACTATATCTCATTGTGCCAGATTATTGAATTATACTGAGATATGGGACCTTTTCCTCACATAAAATTGAAATGTGCTTTGCTACCAGTTGCTAATCTTTTGGTGTTAGGACTGCCAGATAAAATACAAGATGCTGGGTTCAATTTGAATTTCAGATAAATATTTATAGTAAAATAATTATTCATGGTTTACCTGAAATTTAAATTGAGTTAGGTTATCTTCTATTTTTATTTGCTCAGTTCGCTAAAGCATTTCCAGAGATAACATATGATCAAGAACCGGAGGTATTGAAGGAAGATCAAGGCATTGGTGAAAAACAAGGCTCCAGGAATTGACAGGATGCCAGCTGAGATGTTTCAACAAACTTATGCAGTGCAGGAGGCACTCACTTGTCTACCTACCTGGCCAACCTACTAGGAGAGATCCATCATTTGTTCCCATTTCAAAGAAAAGTGACCAAATAGAATGAGGAAATTATCAAACAATATCATTAACATCACACACAAGTAAAATTTTCTGAAGATCATTTTTAAATGGTTGCATCTGTACACTGACAAGGAACTGCTAGAAATTTAAGCTAGATTCATACAAGGACCTAGAGTGAGGGATATCTTTACTGATGTCATATGGATCTTGGCTGAAAGTAGAGAATACCAGAAAGATGTTTGCCTGTGTTTTATTGACTATGCGAATTCATTTGACTGTGTGGATCATGATACATTATGGATATCATTGTGAAGAATGGAAATTTCAAACACTTAGTTGTGCTTATGTGGAACCTGTACATAGACCAAGAGGAGCAGCTTTTCAAACAGAACAAAGGGACAGTGTGTGGTTTAAAATTAGGAAAGATGTGCTTCAGAATTGTATCATTTCGCTATACTTATTCAATCTGTATGCTGAGCAAACTATCTGAGAAGCTGGACTATATGGAGAAGAAGAGGACATCAGGAAAGGAGGGAGACTCATGAACAAACTGTGATCTACAGATAATACAACCTTGCTTATTTTACTGAAAATAAAGAAGACTTAAAACATTTGCTAATGAAGATCAAAGTTTTCAGTATGGATTTAAAATTCAGCATAAAGAAAATAAAAATCCTTACAACTTGACCAATAAGCAGCAGCATGATAAATGGAGAAAAGATCCAAGTTGTCCAAGATTTAATTTTACTTGCACCCACAACCAATAACTATGGAAGCAGCAGTCAAGAAATCAAATGATGTTTTGCATTGGACAAATCTGCTGCAAAAGATCTCTTTTAAAATTTCAAGCACAAAGATGTGACTTTGAAGATCAAGGTGCTCTTGATCCAAATTATGGCATTTTCAGTCATATCATATGCATATCATACCTCTGATTTCAGACAGCCCCCATCCCTATTCTGCTCAACTGCCTCCTATATACTAATCTATCATCTTCACATCTGCTATCAATTATTTTCTCAACACAGATTTCATCATGATGACATTTGGACTAATGCTCTCAGATGCCTTCTTGCTCTCCATTGGTTACTATCCAGTCTTCTGAGCATGACCACAAGCTAGTTGAAAATGGTTTTCTACATTGATTTGCCACCACTTCGTTCCATGTATCAAGCACTGAATGTTTAATGCACAATCATCCCATCACATCTTTTTTCATGCTTCACTCGGAATATATTTTTCTTTTTTTTTAAATCAAAATCTTACTTGTTGCTACATTACCTCAGTAAAAATTGGTTCTTGCATAGATTTATCATCAGAGTCCTGTCTCACCTTAAGCAAATCCAATTTATAAAACCCAATTTTATGATAAAGGAAAAGTATTGTTTAATAACTATCTACAACATAGGAAGGGATTTCAAAAAGTCCGTGGAAAAATTCTATTATCCTTTAATTCCACTTTCATGAACTTTTTGCCATTCCCTCATGTTTCTTAAATAAAAAGGTATATTTAAAATAGGTAGCAATTTGATCTTTAGTATTAGTAAGAAATATTGTTATTGGTGAGAAGTATTATGTTACTATATACTGTCCTTGAATGCTTTAAAGCATTAGAAAATAGTTTTAGATTATACCTTGGGGTCAGTATATATTCAATCTAATCTGCCATCTCTTCCACATTGATAGTACTTCTTGATATTTAGAAGGAAAACCTAGCCATATCAGAAAATTCAAAACTAGACACAGTTGTTCACAATGTGCTCTGAGTTCATCGGTGAAGGACAACTAAGAACACACTGGGAGACTGGATAAGTTATTCAAGGAAAATCCTGAAGGTGTACAGTTCATTGGTCCTTGACTGGTTGCTGATTCAATGGGGTCCCCATTTTTGTCAGGAGTCATGGAGAGGGCTGGAATTAGATGAGAGGCTGTGGACCAAAGCAATACTCAGATAGGAACCTGGCTGTAGGGTCTAGTGTCTGTGGCAGCTAATGATGATGAATATCTATGTGCTTTTCAGAACATTGAACTGAAGGTTGAAGTAGAGAGCCTGAAACGAGAACTCCAGGACAAGAAACAAGATCTGAATAAAACATGGTGAGTGGTAGTTGGAACTAGTTGAACTTTGACTCTTTTCCAGAGAGGGGCTGGCTAATCTGAGAGCAATGGATTTGGGAACAAATTCTAAGAATTTAACTGAATATCTTTTGTATCATAACAACATCAACCAAGAAATCCTGTAATCTTTAGGGAAGCCCCATTTCATCTCTATGAATACAAACTCCTAATCTAAACGTTAAAGTCACACAGGGCTTGGGTAGAGCAGCTTGGTTTTATTCTGAAGTTACACATTTTCAGTATTTTTCTCTATCCTGAGAATAAGAAGATAGTCCGTGGTTTCCAACAAATGCCTTAAAACAGCAATAAAACCAAAACTGGAATTAAGGTCATTCAGCCCCTGATGCTGCCTCCAATTTTCTAATCCTCAGTCGTCCAAGGGCAGCTGTTCTTATCTATAAATAAGCTGGTGACACCTTACCCCCTCCATGCTAGTGCCTGGACATTCATTCCTAGGGATACTAGATACTCAACTAGAATCATGATGTTTGCTACATGAAACATCTGTTCTCTATGTAGAACCTGGAGAAAACTGTGCAACTTTTAATAGATAACCCAGATTCAGGACCATATGCTATTGATTATTCCTGCAAAGGAGGAGAACATTCTGGTAGGTGTCCAAATGGATATCCTGTCTCAGCCATCTAAATGAAAGGTACACTTTAAATTCAAATAGTAAAACAGATAAGGAACTAGCAAAGCACTTTGGAAAAGCAGTCTCAGTTGAAGAGTCCACTAAAAATGTTAAGTTCTCAACCACTAGCTGCCTTTCAAATGAAGATTCTTCTTCAAGCTATAGCAATAAGGAAGCTTCTAACTCCAAAAGCACCCCAGTGCCATCAAGTCAATTCTGACACATAGTGATTTTAGAGGACAGAGCACAACTCCTCCTTAAGGGTTTCTGAAACTGTAAGGCTTTATGGGCGCAAATAGTCTTATCTTTTCCCTGTGAAGTGGCCAAAGCCTCTAGGGTGTCCAAAGTATTCTGATTGCCAATTAACCAAAAATGATAGATCCTAAAATATTACCTGAAGAGTTTGGGAAGAGGGAGTCCACAAGTAATTACAAAGGGGAAAAAACAAGTTTCCTTTTTCTTCTCTTCAACGTGACTCTGAGTTATTGAAACAACCTCATTGAGTCCACGTGTATGTTTGGCTCTGATTGATTAATGCTTTATGGTTTTAGGGCTGATGTGGAGAATCTAAACAGCCATAATGAAGCTGAGCTCCGGCGCCAGTTTGAGGAGAGGCAACAGGAGACAGAGCATGTTTACCAGCTCTTAGAGAATAAGATCCAACTTCTGCAGGAGGTGAGTGGACATTGTAAAGGACCAGGGCTAGGGGCCCTCTTACCTCTTTCCTTACGGCTCTTCTTGCTGTTTGTCACCTTTGTCTCTCCCTATTTTTCTTCCCGAACTCATCAATTGTCCCTGCACTTTAGGGTTCTTAATCTAGGTGGAATTTTTCAGACTCTCAGTGTTCATTTGTTTTGCAGGAATCCAGGCTAGCTAAGGATGAAGCTGCACGAATGGCAGCTCTGGTGGAAGCAGAGAAAGAGTGTAACCTGGAGCTCTCAGAGAAACTTAAGGATGTCACCAAGGACAGGGAAGATGTGCCCGGAGACCAGGTCAAGCACAGCCAATACACTGAGGCCCTGGCGGAGAAGGACAAGTAAGTGCCTTGGGTGCTCCATCGGTCAATTACTCTTTGACAGTTCTTGAGCCTACAAGAGCCTATACCAGTCAGTCCTCCTTAATGGCTTCACCTGGAACCTTCACCATTTTCAAGACTTTTTGGCTCCTCTAACCAAAGATTTTCTCTTTAGGGTTCAGTCTTTGGTGTTGCCCATGAATAGAAATTACTTTTTGGCAGTCAGGGACATAAGAGGGTGTAAGTAGAACAATGAAGTTGACAAATAGTTATAAGCAAAAGGTATGGATTCACTTACTTAGCAAATAATTATTGAATATCAATTATTTGCCAGACACTGATAAGCGCTAAGATTGCAGAAATGAAAGTCTCACTTCTTATCATCAAGTAACATTATCACAGAATTCTAATGAGTTATCTGATATAAGTAGCATGAGGTGCTCTAGGGATATATAGGATGGCCACCTATTTCAGATTAAAAGAGCAAGATGTCATTGAAGGATTCCCAGAAGAGGTGACATCTGAGCAAAGTCTTGAAGAATGAATAGCAGTTAAAAGAAATGGAGTAGGAAGTAGGTGGGAAGGGGAATGTTCTGTGCAAAAGAAGAAACCATGAATGTGAGGCTCAGAGAAAGGCATGGTCCAAGAACTGGGGAAGAGTTAATGAAATGTAAGTTAAATTGGGAGCTAGAGGTCTGAGTTTGCCACTTTTATCCACCATCAACAGGCGTTAGAATTTGATCCTAAAGATTGGGACAGTTGAAGGATTTTAAGCTGAAGAACAATATGACAAGATTTATGTTTGAAAATAATCACTCAGGAAGCTTTAAGTAAAATGAAGTGAAATGGGGGTAAGCAAAAGGTAGAAAAGCTAGTTTATTCATTCAACAGATATTCAGCATTCATTAATTATTCAGAATTCTGTTAAACACCAGGAGACTTCATGGGGATCCTAGTGTAGTGGGAGAAATATATCTGTTGCATTTTTGTTTCATTCTCCTAACAATTTTATTACACAGGAATTACATAGAGTTGTCAAACGGAAAAGCTGAAATTGAGAGAGCTATATCACACGGCACTCAACAACAACAACAACATATTACACGGTAGTAGACACTGCTGGAATCCAAACCCTGAATTCACACTGCCTGTAGAAGGCATGAAGCTAGGCTAGGTCGCCGGAATTTTGCTCACGCTCTTCTTTCAGTGAGAATCATCTGCCATCTTGTCCCCTTCTTGCGAACTCCTGTTTATCCTTCAAAACTCACCAAGGCATCAGCTGCCTCCCCTATGAAGGCTTTTGCGACTCTGACATATTTAAAAATATATGTGTGTGCGTGTGTGTGTGTGTCATTTACTGTACAGTTCGCAGTGTCATATTGTATTTGCTTTCAAATCTTTTCTGGTAGAGTACCTGAGACTTTGGTTGATCGCTATAACCTAATAAGCACTCATTGTGGGGGCCACTGAGTTAATTCTGACTCTATAGGACAAGACAGAACTGTCCCATAGGACTTCCTAGGCTGCAGTCTTTCTGGGAGCAGATTACCAGATCTTATCTACCATGGAGCAACTGGTGGGTTCAAATCACTGATCTTTCATTTAGCAGATGATTGCTTCACCATTGTGCCACCAAGGGCTCCTTAATAAACTCTTGCTAAACTAAAAAGCAAAAACAAAAATATTGGTAAATTTTTAATGTGCACCTGACAAAAAAATTGAGGGCATTCAAGATGGCCTTGAACAACTTTGGAGAATAGGAGATTAGATCATCTTGAGAGACTGAGGGTCAATGCAATCCATGAGTGAGGTGTGAGGCTTGAGAAGAGTAGAGACATTCTAGTGCAGATACTGTGGAGGAAGTTGATATAGAATCTACATGAATCCATGATTGTTATCATGGCAGTTTGCACTTGTATAATGTATGCAACTGTTAACGTTCTTCCTCATCCTAAAACCTTAACTGAGCCTCATGCCTTAAATGAATTTCTAATTCTTCTCAGCAATTCCTATTTGGATTTCAGGTGCCCCTCACCTTTCTCCCAGGGTGCTTAAATACTTACACAGAAATAATAACCTCAAGTAGAAACATTTTGTCCAATATTCAGAACATTTTCAAAGACCTGAAAGGTATCTCTAGGACTCTGAGACATATAAACAGAGAAAAAACAAGATATGTATGCCTTACACAATCATTGATTCTTGGTTCAAACCCGTGATTTGTATACTTCAGCACCACGTACACAGTCTTCTACAGCTTGTCCTAGACTGCATTTCCAGTCTGTTTTCTAGCTATTGTCCCTTCTTCTCAGGTTTTGTTCCAGGGTATTCTCCAAGCATACCTTATATTTTCAGGTCTTCTTTCCTTTACTTAGGTTCCTCCAGCTGAAGAACAATTTTGTCTCCAAAATCTCTTCTCCCGAGCCCCTGTACACTCCTCCAAGTCAAATGACCCACTCCTTTATCTTTCTTCTGATAGCTTCATGACAGTCCTCAATGTACTATACTAGTATAGATCTGTATATCTATATTTATACTAGTACAGATCTCTATAATATATATTTTTTTCTATACTAGTATAGATCTTGATAGCACTTATTACATTCTATTGTTATTATTTGTTTATATTGCTGAACCTCCTTCCCCCACTTCACGCACCTACCACATATACCAAAGCAATAAAAGTTTCTACAGCACAGAGATGGTGTATTTCCCAACTTTATATTCCCATTACTTGGTAGAGTACAATGGGTATATGCAATGGGTATACAAGAGCTGTTTATTTATTAAATACAACAATTAATGAAAATAAATATTCTGAACACTTATTTTAAGAATTACCTATACAGTCTGTAGATCCCAGGATAGACTTCAGAGGTCCATGAACCCCATGAACACAGTAAGCAAAAGGTTGTTTGTATATGCACTTGAGGACCAGGACACAGAAGACCTGGTCTTCTAGGGAGAAAGCTTAGAGGGTTCCATGACCCCAAAAGTAAAAGCTTACTGTATTGGACCATACTGTCTTTGGAGTGGGCTGAACAATAAGGTAATAATTGTGTCATAACCATAACTGTTCTTCCTGTTTCTTTGCTGCAGAAAAATTGAAGAACTGAGTCAGAGTCTGGCTGCCCAGGAGAGGCTCGTGCAACAGCTCTCTAGAGATAAGCAACTGCTACACCTGTTAGAGGAGCCGACTAGCATGGAGGTGCAGGTAAGGTTTGGACTGTAGTCCTTGAGGGACTTGCCTCATGCTGTCACGAGGTCTAATATATATATATATATATATAAAAGTTTATATTGTTGTTAGGTGCCATCGAGTTGGTACCGACCCATAGCG